GTGTGTGCTGCTCATTGGAGAAAAGTGCATTGAATTTGCGCGCTGCCGCAAGCCTCTCTGCGATTGGTGCGTGACGAATCCGCCCGCGCTCTGCGGAAATATAAGCGAGGCTTTGAGTTGATCGGAGCTAGCCTCGGGAGCCGTGAAGGATGCTTCAGGGGCCGTACAGCAACCTGGACCTGGACCTGGACCGGGACCGGTTCCTCATCCGGCTGCCTTTCAAAAGCTTCTCCGTGGGGACGGTTCTGCTGCCGGTGACCGGCTTCATCGCCTGTATCTTCATCTCCCTCTGGTACCACTATGAGGAAGCGACGTACACACACTGTAAGGTGTCCAACTACCTCCCGTCCATCAGCTCCGCCATCAGCAGTGCGCCCGAGCGCTACATCTGGCGCGGCTGCATCGGGCTCCACTCGGCACCGCGGTACCTGGTGGCCTTCGCCTACTTCAGCTTCTACCGCAGCCGCTTCACCAACAGGCTTCCGGAGCTGCTGCTGAGCGGGCTGGCGCTCCTCTGCAGCCTCGCCGAGAACACCGGCCTGGTGATGCTCACGTACGTGTCGTCCACGGAAACCTACAGCGTTCATAAGTACGGGTTCATCACGTTCATAGGGAGCTCGCTGGTGCACATGCTCATTACGTGCTGGCTGTGGTACGTCATCAAGAGACACTACGTGAGCTCAGAGGAAGTGACATCATATCACTGGAAGCTGCGTCTCTTCCTGTTCAACATCAGCTGCTGTGTGATCGCTGCCTACTTCTTCAGACGCCACAACAAATACTGTGAAGCAGGAATCTACTCCCTGTTCGCCGCCTTTGAGTACCTGGTGGTTTTCTCCAACATGGCCTTCCACATGACGGCCTTCTGGGACTTTGGGAGCAAAGAGGTGACCGTGGCCACGCCGCTGGAGGACAAACGATACTGAGCAGGAGGGGGCGGGGCGTTAATGCCATTTCTGAACTCAAGAGCAGAGAGAGGAGTCTGATGACATCATTCCAACGACACCCTGACGTTCGGAGCAGGACGGCGTGATGGAGACGTGGACCAGAGTTCTTCTTCTGTTGTTGTTTCTCTAGTGTGCCTGTGTCTTTAAATCATCAGAAATGATGCGTATTGATGATGTCACACTTGTTTACAGAAACAGCTGATCAGGGTTTTAATGGGTTTTATTTCCACACAGATAAAAACCATCAGAGACTAAATAAATGTGATGGTGATGATGATTTCATGGTGGTGTTCTTCATCCTCGTCGTCACCAGACGTTTAGTTTAGTTTATTAAAAACAAGAAAAGCTTTTCCAAAGTGGCCGATGAATAAACGCTGAAGGAGAAAGTGTTGGAAATGTAAAGAAATACAAATGAACCTTGGAGTAAAGAACAAAATGTTTTGACAGAAATCAGAGAGGCTCAGACGGTCTGAGCATGTGCAGAGGATGGAGGCGGAGCTGCCGGGCTGCAGTGTTTGTATCTTAAACAATCCTGCAGCATGTTACTGAGAGCACATAGGAAATCGTTTTAGTTACACAGGACGTGAAACGTTGCGCGCCGGTTGGAGGCTCACAGACTTTAAAGAAGGAAAAAAAAAAGCAACTCTTTTTGCTGACTGGCAGCAAGACGACCACATGTCAAGTTTAAAAACTGATTTGTTGAAAACTTCCGGGACATTTAATGTCCTTGTTGGAGTGACAGGGAGTGTTGCAGCCTTGAAACTGCCTCTTTTGGTCTCCCAGCTTCTTGATCTCTCCGGGGTGGATGTACGAGTAGTCACTACAGAGCATGCCAAGCACTTCTATAATTCTGCTGAGGTGTCAGTCAAAATCTACAGTGACGAGGATGAATGGGAGCTGTGGAAACAGAGATCTGACCCTGTGCTACACATTGAGCTAAGGCGTTGGGAAGATCTACTTGTCATTGCCCCTCTTGATGCCAACAGTCTTGGAAAGATTGCTAGTGGTATTTGTGATAATCTGCTGACGTGTGTGGTAAGAGCCTGGGATACCAGTCGTCCTCTTCTCTTCTGCCCTGCAATGAACACAGCTATGTGGCTGCATCCTATTACAGCCCAGCAGGTATCCAGACTGAAAGAGTTTGGATATGTGGAAATCCCCTGCGTTGCCAAAAAGCTAGTGTGTGGAGATGAAGGTAAAGGTGCCATGGCAGAAGTATCGACAATTGTCAGTCTTGTCAAAGAGTATCTTCAGAAACCAGATGAGTCATCTTTGGAGGCATGAACGTCAGGCAGAGCTAAGGCCAAGACCCGCTCATCCCGTTCCCCGTGGGTCGTGTCCACAGACTGCTGCATAAAGGCAACTATGCCGAGCGTGTAGGAGCCGGCGCCCCTGTTTACCTGGCAGCTGTGCTCGAGTACCTGACCGCTGAGATCCTGGAGCTGGCTGGCAACGCAGCCCGCAACAACAAGAAGACTCGTATCATCCTGCGTCACTTGCAGCTGGCTGTGCGCAATGACGAGGAGCTCAACAAGCTCCTTGGGGGAGTCACCATCGCTCAGGGTGGTGTGCTGCCCAACATCCAGGCTGTGCTGCTGCCCAAGAAGACTGAGAAGCCCGCCAAGACCAAGTAAACGCAAAGCGCTCGGCTTCACAAAAAAACAAAGCCTCTTTTAAGAGCCACACAATTCTCTCTAAGCAAACACCCTTCTTGCTGTTACTGTGTCTGTAACATTTTGTGTATTGGGAAATGTAGATTATGTATCTTGATTTATTTTGAAATGTATGTTCATTCATGTCATCTTACATAGTCAGGGACTGAAATCCACCTTCAAAATATACTATCATGAGTGCTTAAGCAGTGTGTTTGTTTTATTCAAAAGACAAGAATAGAGGGTCTTAATATAAAGTCAAAATAAAACTAAAGCAAAAAGCTCTCAGTCTCTCCTGCTGAGTGGTTAAGGCTTGTGCCTTGTTCAACCTCATTGCTCATCTTACTAATTTAGAATAAATTGGATGTCACTAATTATTAGCTTCATAACTACGACTGTAGACACTCATCATGGTTCACTCGCTTGATAATTAAAGCAGTTTCTACGCTCATGGAAACAGACAACACGTGGTACATGACACATGTGGCAAGATCACAAACCTTGTCAAACACAATAGGAAATCATAACAACATGATGAGTAGGACAGGTGGACTTCTTTGGTGCTGCAGAAACTACCCAGGTACAGAGGGAGGAAAATGTGGAGCTGTTAGCAACATGTTCAGCACCACTGCTGCTAAATTTGGGACATGTTGCAAAGTCACTTACATCTACGCTTAGTCAACCCCTGTTTTAAGGACAGTAGTGGGTTTGAGCAGGATTTGAACCTGGGCCTCCTGGTCTCAAGGCGGCTATTCACCCCATTGTGTTCTCAGAGCATTTCATGCGACCTTAAAGCTCTCAAGAATTCCATTAAGTTGCTGAACCCTGATCTCTGACGTGGCAAATTAGTTGGTTTAGCTATAAACTTTGGTGTGTAACTCTGTAATATCTATAAAAAAATTAATGAAACCAAAAATGAAGGTGTAATTTAATATAAGTATGCAAATCAAGATGAAAATCTATTAATAGTTAAAAATATACAAGACAAAATATTATCCGAAAGCATGAGAGACGTGGTATGGCTCATCTCGCTCGGGCGCCTCCCTGTGAGAGCAGTGGTACAGTGGAGTTGTTTCGTTACCACCATGAAATGTCCCATGACCAACTGTGATAAAGATGAGACCGTAGAACATCTTCTATTGGATTGTTATAGGACAACTGAGATCAGGCAGAAGATGACAGAGATTGGCTATGATGTGGATGTTAATATTAAAGCAGTTAAATATGGTTTGTTTAAAGAAAAAATGGGTGAAGACAAAAGGAGACTCTTTTGGTTAGTAATGTGTGTTATAAACACACACATTTGGAAAACCCATGCCAAAGGAGTACTTGAACAAAAGATGATAGGTAGTGATGTGGTGAGTAAACATATCATTACAGATCTGCGGAGAAGACGAACAATGGACCTGAAACTTGGGAAAGTTTTCCCCTGGAACGAATTGAAATTGTAAGTTTTAAAAGTGGTTTGTGGACTCAGATGCTCGATTTTCCTCCTTGTTTGACTTTTTCTTTAGTGAGTGGTGTGTGATCACGGTTTTGTATATGTAATTGAATATGTATGTACATTTTATATGTAATTTTGTATACTTTAAATAAAGTAAAAAAAAAAAAAAAAGCAAGACTCGACACTCAAGCGTCGGCAGCTCCATTTTCTGGTGAAAAACTTTGGTGGTTTCACCTTCAGTCGCTAACGGTCAGTTTTGGCCATTTCCATTTCTCTTTGGGACTGAAAAGAAACGTTTTTCAAGATGGGAGACGGCGATCTGAACTTGAAAAAGAGCTGGCACCCCCAGACTATGAAAAACATTGAGCGTGTCTGGAAATCTGAGCAGAAACATAAGGCTGAACATAAAAAGATCGAGGAGCTCCAGAAGCAGCTGAAGGAGGAACGAGCCCGAGAGGAAATGACAAAATATGCGGAGGAAACCGGCGTCTTAAAAAAAAAAGATGATCGGTTGGACTGGATGTACCAGGGCCCTGCCGGTCAGGTGTCCAGGGATGAGTACCTGCTTGGGCGCACCATTGACAAGCAGATCACTGACCAGTATGAGGAGCCAGAGAGCGGTCCCTCAGCTGAGACAGGCCTCCTGCCTGGGTCCATATTTAACCCCGCCCCTCCAGCCTCGATTTGGCTGCCAAGATCAGGGAAGACCCCCTGTTTGAAATCAGGAAACGTGAGGAAGCAAAGAAGAGAGAAGTCCTGACTAATCCAATAAAGATGAAGAAAATTAAAGAAATGCTTCGCCAAAACCTTGATAAGAAAGACAAGAAAAAGAAGAGGAAGAAGGAGAAGAAAGGAGACAAAGACAGAAGGAAGGAAAAGAAGCATAAGAGGAGGAGTTCAAGTTCGAGCTCGGAGGAAGACGATGAGAAGAAACACAGGTCACACCCACGAGACAACTCCTCAGACACCAAATCTCATTCTCATCATCATCATCCAGGCTGTGGTCTACAGCTCCCAACAGACAGATATCAACAGACCTCGACCTCCTCCGGTCACTCAGGGCGGCGTGAGAGGAGCCTATCCCGATCACCTCACAGGAATTACAAGGACAGCCGCTCCTACTCTTCATCCTCCTCACATCTGAGTGAAAAGAAGCAGGAACCCAGAGCTCCCAGCCCACAGAAGGGCCGCTACCAGAGACAGAGGAACCACGTGCCCAAGAAGCTCTCTGCAGAGGAGATGGAGCGAAAGAAGCATGAGATGATGGACCAAGCCAAGCAGCGGGAGGAGGACAGGGAGAATAATGTGAAGCACTATAAGAGGCAGGACGAGCAGGAGAAGCAGAGGGAACAAAACGCCAAGCATGACCGCCACGCTGGCTTCATCCACAACATGAAGCTGGAGAGTGCCGCGAACTCCTCCTTAGAGGACAGAGTGAAGAAAAATATCCACTCCATTCAGAGGACGCCAGCCTCCCTGGAAAACTTCATGAAACGATAAAGACAAAAATTCACATTACAGTCAATGAACTGACTAAAGACTGCCACACACCATTTTTTGACTGGGGCAGGTGAGCTGCGAGCCTGTCAGGAATTCAAACACAGGCTTTTAATTTGAAAAGCAGATGTCACAGTATTCATATGTACAGTACAAAAGGCCTGTTGTTACTTCATGTGTTTTAGCTACTTTCTTCAAAGCAAGACTCGGCAAGACCTACAATAAAGTCAGACGTGGAGGAGTTAATGCCGAGACTGCTGCCCGTGGAGTGTGGATCCGGTACCGTGGGCGACCTGGACCTGAGCGGACCGCCGAGAAACCCCCAGGAGTACCTCCGACAGGTCCAGCTGGAGGCTTCATTGTGCTTCCTGGGTGAAAGCAGAGGGATACTGCAACTCGTCCAACATGGCTGGCCAGGAAGATCCAGTGCAAAGAGATTCACCAAGACTGGGCGAATCGAGAGTACATAGAAGTAATTACGAGCAGCATCAAGAAGATCGCCGACTTTCTTAACTCGTTTGACATGCCATGTCGATCTCGTTTGGCCACACTCAACGAGAAGCTGACAGCGCTGGAGAGGAGGATTGAATACATTGAGGCAAGGGTGACAAAAGGAGAAACCCTGACCTAGAAGTGGCCATTGAAACTCATAACACCCCCAACCTACCTGCCATCCCTCACCCTGAATTTTTGGACTAAGTGTGATGGACCCCACCCTCCTATTTTGGGACGATGTGGACCTTTTTTTTTTTTTTTTTAAATATATTATATGGCTGGATTTGGTGTTATTTTATCTCATGACGCATTTGTACAGAAGATGTGTGTCTAACTTGGCTACCATTGATTCAAGCATCATTATATTCTATTACAAAACTAAGCTCCACTAGTATTGATTTAAAATAAGTCTGGAGCATAATTATGATTTATAAATTTTGTATCACTGCAGTTTGACCATCTGTGTTGTGTACAGTGTCACTTCCAAATGAAAGCTGTATCAAAAGAGGAACATTCGCCTGTGCCAAGATGAACTATTATTGTGTACTTACATTTAATAAGGGCCTCCTTGTACAGCAAAGTGTTTGATGATGTTTCAGAATTTAACTACTGTAATAAATTACCTTAAATTAAAAAAAAAAAACCTAACCCTTTTTTAAAACTGAGAGCTAGATAAAATTGTGCACAGTTAATCTTTAGTTATATTATAATAACAATTCTGTCTTGATATGCTGTCTTATCACAGGTTAATTTTTCAAAAAAGTTCTGGGTCGTGTAGCAGCCAACAACTCCTCCAGAGAGGCTGTCCTGGTCAAGAAGAAGTTCATGGCCCACTTCTCGGCAGAGGGAGCAGTGTCTTGGCAGCCAAAAGAATAGCCTGTTTGAAGACCCACTGACTTCCCCACAACCCTGCCTTTTAAAAATTTTCTTAATAAATGGAGGTCTACTCCAAAATAAACTAACCTCTCTTTATTCTCTTAAATAATTGATCTTCACTATGTTCCTATATAGTAGTATATTTTTTCATTAGTATAACATGAAATTAATTCTACATGTGTCAAGCTGTGTGCCAATATTTGCTGTGTAGTAGAACTGAAGCATAAGTCATTACAAAAATTTATTTCAAATAATATTAAAATTCTCAAACAGAAAAACATTAAACATAAATATATAAAATATAACTATTTACAGAGAGA